CAGACGCTACATCTTACGCTCTTTTTAACAGACGCTTTTGTTATACTCCTATCGGTTACTCAATATTCCAGGCCTAACTATTATTGGCCCTCTTAAGTACTTTGATCGTTACTGAATATTTCAGCACTGTTACTGAATATTTCGGGCCAAAGCTTGGCCAAACCAAGACTAGATAGCGCACCTAAAACCACTATTCTAATGCTCACAATTTCATCATCAACTGATATCAAACCCCTTTGATCTAGGTTAAGTCAAAGTTGATTGTTATCAATTCGAGTAAAAAGCATGCAGCGAGAAAAGCGATGATCCATCATAATCGAAGATTAGTACCCGGCGCCACCTCCACTCCTGGGCTTGAATCGCATGATGTAGTCTTTGTCTGTAGAGATCGCGCACATATGCTACCATGAAAAACTGTGGCAAAAGCCTGATGCTACTGTACATACGAGAAGCGAGTAGGTTTGGCACAGTAGCGAGGTACTAAGTTAGTGACTGGTTTGCACCGAGGTCGAATCATAGGATTCAAAAGGGACAATCGATAGGATTGACAGGCAAACCCGGACCAAATGGGGTACCGAGCTATGGTGCAAATGAGAGAGCCACCAAACTACGGGTGCGATCGCTTTCCGGGAAAGCGGAAGACAAAGGCCACGGAGATGAGTTTGGCACTGGGCTGGAAATTGCGCAAGGCGTTCATCCAAGGATACTTCTGTGATGTCTGCATAAAAAGGCGTTCATGTGAGAGAGAGTCAGGGCGAGAAATCCAATCAGCGAGGACATTGTCATCGCCAGGGATGTGCACCGTGTGGCAAACCAAAGTAGATCTCTTCAAGAGCTGACCGTAGAGCGCGACCAAGGCTTGAGCCAACGGACTGGTGGTCCGTGTGTCATTGATCCAAGACACCGTCGCAGTGTTGTCCGTACAACAACGAAGGACTGGGAACGCCGGAATACCATGTGGGAACAACTCATGAATGGGAGCGGAGAGCGCAGAAGACTCAATGGTAACGACAAGGGAAGTACTGTGAAGTGGTGAGTCAACAACAAGTTTGAACCATGTGAGGCATCTGTATTATGAATGTTAGAATAAAGCAAAATGTGCTCTATCGTAGAATCGCGCTTTTATTATCCTGATACAAGATATTCTTCTCGAATACCCTTGCCACTCCATGAACAACTTCGTCCATAGTACCATCGTGACAACATCGTCAACAGCAATCAGTTCCGCTTCCGTACTACTTCTGCTGTTTAGCTTTTGCTTCTTCGACATCACTTGAGCTGCACCTCCTCCAAAGGACAGAGTGCCGCCTGTATGGCTCTTGAAATCTGGATGCACCGCAAATGATGCGTCGATCATCCATTTCATGACTCGTAGTGATTCTGCGGAAAGTGTCAGGTGATACAACGCTGTACAAAACAAATATCGCATCATGCAAACACACTTCTTCCAATCAGACTCTGTAGGTTCTCGAACTCTCGAGGCAAGAATAGTAATCGTTGGATGGATATCCAAACGAGCTCTCTTAGAGACATAA